GTGGGCACACGCACAGACACACGGAGGCCGCTGGGCATTGATGCTTGGGCTGCGAGACGGTCCTCGGCATAGCCGCTGCGGGAGCCCGCTTACCCGATAGCTGGCCCCCATCCGCTTGCATCACCGGAGTGTACTTCTCGTCGTCATTGTAAAATGGGTAGTTGTTGGGAGGCACACGAACGTGGCCCGTGTTGCCGGTGCCTGCGTGGTCAATCGCGCCCAATGGAAACGATCTTACGATGGCGGATCTGGAGCATTAACACAGCTCGCCTTACCCGATGGGCGACGTGCGAGGATCTCGGGTTCGACTGTTTGGGCAGGTTCAGGCGGCACCTGGCGTGGGGTTGTATTGGGTCCGCGCCGGCTCGTGGGGGTCGCCCAAGTCTTTGTAGCGCCCTTGCAGTCCGGTTGTCTCCTCCCACGTCCAAGTTGTTGGCGGCCCATCGGGTATCGTCATTGCCGGTGAGATCCGTGCCGAACGGCGGAGACTCGGCAAGGTTTGCGTGTGAAACGCGTGTCCGTTCGGTTGGTTTGAATCGGGGGGGCCGCTGGAGCGGGCGGGACAAGGGGCCGCGAAAGGACGCAGGGAAGCGGGGGGGGGGGTCGCTACAGATCACGTAATGCACTGCCACGTATCATCGAGACAACCCCCTTTTGGGCCCCCAAGTTGAATGTTCTTGATCGAGAACACAAGGGAAGCATGTCCCACATTGCCCCTTCTACGAGCAAAAAATTTATGAACACCCCTTTCCTTGCAGGGGTTAGAGTGCTGCATGACCAACTTGTGAATGTGCATCGACTGTTTGGATGTTTGCCTTTGGGCAAGAATGGCCCGCTACATTCAAACTGTTCCCCACAAAATCTGCACCTCATGCCGACATGAATTACGCGCCCAAGCAACGCACAGTCGTTAAGTCCGATGTGCAGCACCCAAAAAACAAGGCAACGGCATTTTCTTTTTCTTGCTTGCTGTTTTTCTGCCACACCAGGAATTGTGGCGGCTGTTGAGAGATGGTGCCACCCTTGTTCAGTTTTCAGTGGGACTAGCAGCAGATCGCTTTACAAATGTATAGAAACAACGAATGCTCTTATGGACTCAAGCACACTGTAAAAATGAGGCATCCAGAACAAAGATGCTGGCTCTGAATTCTCAAAAAATAGTTTTAAATTCTGTATGCTGCGAATGTCAACATAAGCAACAGGGGCCCAAACGATGGCCATACAATCTTCTCATGTTGTGGTCCATCGTGCACCATGACTGACGTTTCCGTTGAATTGGGTTGTACCTCACCAGCAACAACTTTCTGGACCAACACACATACCACACACTGCAGTCAACTGCCTGGTGAGGCGCACACAGTAATCGTGGCCCATCCCTTGGCAGACACAACTTATGCCTTTCAAATCAGGAGAGGTGCAAGCTCTGGCCTTCATGTGTATTCCTCACAACCACAAGGCTCAAACTCAAAAGAGTGCCACAAGCAACTATGCATGCCAAATGATACAAAGAGGCACGTCAATATCATCGGAATGAATGGCCATGTCATTTTCAACCAACATGACAGCAGCATGGTCATGCGTTTTCTGACTAACCCAACAATCCATATCTGTCCAGCTGGATGCACTTCGGATGCTGGTGAACACCACCAGGGGAAGCTAGTGAAGATAGGAAATCGGATGGCAAGCAAGTGTGGATTGCCAACCATGCAATTTTCTTCTCCTCTGTTTGGAGACACAGTCCATTTGTAGAAACGAACAGTTGCAGTGCCTTGAGCATCTTAGTGGTCAAGAATTTTGTCACCAAGTCCATTGCCATGTGATGACATCCATTTGAGCAATTGGACGCACAGCCTTTTCTTTCCAGGGATTACAAGCTCAAGAAAACAACAACAGGGCACTTCACACGCGGTGCGCACAAAACTAGCATACGAGTTTCGCCAGCTGATATTTGTTGCACCGAGGGTTATGCGGGTCCAAAATCCACGCTCGCCACCGGCACGTTTGTGAAGATCACAACCCCTCACGCCCATCAACTACCGGATATTCCCCTCCAAGTCTCAGCATTCATCGGCACCAATCAAATGACTCTCCCCGCCCATCGGGGACACCCCCACGAGCCCGCATGCCCTCGTATCCCCCGATGTGCAACAACTCTGTATGAGAAACCTCTTCGCGCCATCGGACCGCCAGCCCAACCCCGCAGCCACCCACGCGCCTGATCGACCATGCCGCCCCCAATGGCGAATCCGCTATCGTGGGATCCCGCGCCAGTCACCGGTGCGCATTGCATCCAATATCCTCGCCGTTGACGCACCCCGCGCCGCCCGCCCTGCCTTCCACCTCCAACTGCGCGCGTACGGGCGCGCACACCCGGCAGCGCTGGTCCTCGCAGTGCCAGAAGTGCCACAGGAGCCTCCGCGCTTTCAAGCAGTTCCGGACGGTGCAGCCGGCGTCAGCGCAGTACAGGATATGCGCCCACAGATGGCGGCCTAACGAGCAGCCCTCCCCGTACTTGCACCGCTTGCCCGATCGGCAGTTGGGCGAGTGGTACAGGAAGATGATCCGCTCGCTGTTCACGCGCACCAGGCGCGCCTCGTCCCTCGCCCTGAGCGGCAGCACCGGCCCGTGGGCCGCGTCCCGACGCGGCCTCTTCGACGGGGACATCCCAACGCGCCAAAGGTCACAATTCAATCAGATCGGCACGGATCTCCGCCTTGGGATTGTGCGCTCGGGGTTCATCTGAATATTTTCAGCTCTCGTGGGAAAGAGGGAGGGATCTCCGTGCCGCCGCGGCCAATGTGTTGGACGGACGGTGTCCTCTTATTTCCGATGCGGCGTCCGCGGAGGACAGAAGCGGGGGGGTGGCGGTTGGTGGCGTGGTCCGTGGGACCCATGCTGGCAGGCGCCCGCTCTCGCGCGGGCCGAAACTGGAGGCCCCTCCGGTGGCGGTGACACAGAGGGGGCGGACGCGGATGGGAGGGCGAAAGGGAAGGGCTGCTCTGGAGCAACCGCCGCAAACTGGAGAGTTTCTGGCACCCTATTATAAATGCGCCACTTTCTCCATTGTGCCCATCTTTTTGGCTTGGGTGACGGTCGGGCTGTCCGCGTTTGCTCCCGTTCCCTGAAGCCCGTCCACACGGCCGCCGTCGATCCCATCACGACCTTGACAGTTTATATGCCCCGGCGTTACCTTGAAGAGAAACACCACAAACTGGCAAGTTCAAGCACTTGGCCAGTGAAGTTCTTGCCAAAGACGGGAGAGACTTCCCAGGAGTGACCATTCAAGGTGTGGCTGGTGATGGCATGTGCGCGCCCATGAAGACAAATGAAGTCCCACCGATCGGCGCCGCTGAATCAGATGCGACTCAGTCGTCAGCCAAAATAGGTCCACAAATCACAGCGATGGACCACAAGAAGTCTGTCATCAAATTCAAGGCGAAACCCGTCCCTCCATGCACGACACTCCATAACTGCAGTAGTGAAGCCCAGACCGCCATGGACCATGGCGACGAGTTTCAGCAATTAACACAAGGAATTTGAAGACGAGGTACAGAGCGCGCCCCTGGTTCCAACAGTAAGAATTCCGTCACTTGCCCGACCCCGGGAGGCACTGCGGTCCACTCAGTCAATCCGTCTCCACAGAAGACGCCGATAGCATTGCACACCGGCGGCACGCCTCACTGTCATTGCAGGTGGCACTGCAGGGCGCCACCCTCTCTTGAGCTTGTCGACCTGATTCTGCTCAACCTAGCTGGGAGAGCAGTGCACACTGAACACGGGACATCTCAACTGTCGGAGGGCAGGATTCACAGCGCTGTAAAGTCGGCCGCCCAGGGTGTCTACTGTATGGGAACCATCTTAGCTCAAGGGCTTGGAGAGATCGAGAATCCGAACATGGCATGTCGCGCACACGGTGCACAGCACGTTTTGTTGTCCCTGTACTTAACAGTTTGCCCTTTCGCTTCGCATATATTTCATGCCACTTTTCTCCCATGACTCAGTCCTGAGTCAGCCCCCAAATCCGGTACTTCCTTCCACACCTGCCCTCTTTCTCCCTCAACATAACCGAACTCCACTTTCTAGGGTGGGAGGGCCAGGTGCCAAACAAGATAGGAGGGGGACCAAGGGGGGAGCCTGAATAGCCGCCCCCGCTCAGCCCCGCCAAAGTCCGCCAAAGTCCAAGGGCGCCAACTGACGGCCCTTGGAAACTACGTACTTTGACTGATCCAAGGTACTAGAAGGGCCAAAACCCGTTTGAATTCAACTACGACTTATTTGAATCATCAGCGCAGCCCACCCAACGTCGTCCTCGGTGGAAACGTGTTGACAAGATAGTTAATTGCATATATGCGGAATCGACAGGGGAATACACATGTGGAGTAACGCTGTCCCCGGTGAGATCATGTCTCCAGTGATCGATGAAGGGCACAGGCAGGCACTCGAGGGGTTGCTGATGCATGAGCGCATTTGAAGACACCACCCTGGCTACAGGACCACCTGGATGTTGTCGGCTGACAGGGCGCGTGCGTGCTTCATCCAGTAGCCCACACACATTTGTTGCGTACCCTTGCTGACATTTGTTGAAAACCTGAGCCCATTTGTTCACCTCAACCCCGGCGATCCACATGTGCATGCCTGCATTGCGGCAGCATGTGGTGCACGGCCAGCCCTGCATTGTGCACAACAACAGAGGTTGGCACTAGGCAGGAAACCCACCTAACCTGAGCGTGTGACCATGGCAGTGTAGTTTAGCGCACAATTTGATCACACGGCTCTCTGTCTGCGCATCTCGGTTTATCTTCAGCAGGTGTAGCAATAAAACGCCATGGAGCGTGGCCTCAATTATGGTGCAGCTGTGAGATTCCATTAACTGCAATTACACAAGGTCAACAGAAGCCTGGACTGTTGTACACTCAAGCCTAAATGGACTCTTGACTCTCCGCTAAAATGGCACAGATATGAGCAGAGCCGTTCGTTGGTTCTTCTAAAATTCGCAGAACTCAGGGAAGCGTGCCTAGGTCTTCCAGCACGCCTTGCCAGTCCCTGAGGCTTATCCTTGTCGCGCCGCTGTCGCCGGTCTGGCGAGCCATCTCTACCAGCATCAGCAGCCGCTTGATGGGCATTGCACCAGCCCCCAACAACTCCACAGCCTTTGGAATGTCGGCCCGGGAAAACACGTCTAACGACTGGATCACTGTCTCAATCTCCTCCGTGAGCGTGAGGGGCGGAACATTCAAGACAACATTGAACACATCGGACAAGCCCATAGTATCCAAAACGTCCCCGGAGCTTGAAGTCGCACAGACGAGCAGTTTCCTGCCCTCTGGAGGCCGCTTTTTCAAAAGCACCAGCAGCGTTTGGAGTACAAGGTTTGAAAACCTTGGACCTATGGCCACGTACTCCAGCAGGCGCTCCACATCATCCAAAATCACCAGTGACAGAGAGGATTTGTGGGCATCAGCGAAAATCTTGGTGATCTCCAAACACTTGGAGTGTTCTGAGTAGCCAACCATGTTTTCTGCCGACGCGACCTTGACGAAGGGGTACTCGGACAAGATCCCCAGCTGCGCTGCCAGTGCAGTCTTCCCTGAGCCCGCGGGGCCCTCCAAAAGGCACGTCAGCAGTGGAGTGTTTTCGGAGCTCCTCACTTGATTGACAAGTCGATGGCAGGTGCTCAGGAGGTGATCGAACACCGGCCCACTCGATATCATGCCCCCAGTGCAGTAAGACTCCAATGTCTCTCTCTGTGCCCCGAATGCTGGCTTCACCTCCTCCAATGCAGCCTCAAAGTCGCTCATCGTCACTTTGACATTTTCATCATCGATCGTCTTGGAGAGATTTGTCATGTCCAGGTGCCTGTTCAGGGCGAAGGACACCGCACTGCCCACCAGGCCCTCGATCTCAGCTCCGCTGAAGTTCTTTGTCAGCTCAGCCAGCTGCAGCAGGTCCACGCTCTTGTCAAGAAAAGAATTCTTTGACATCTTGGTGGTGTGGATCCGCAGTATCTCATGCCGGCCGGCCTGGTCTGGAAGGCCAATCTCCACATGCACTTCCAGACGCCCCGGCCTGAGCAGGGCCTCGTCCAGGAGATCTTTACGATTCGTCATGCCGATGAGCAGTATGTTGTTCAGCGAGTCCACGCCGTCCACCTTCGTAAGGAGCTGGTTGACGATCGTGTCGTGGACGCCCGATCCGTCCCTCACGCTGCCTCTCTGCTTGCAGATGGCGTCTATCTCGTCGAATATGATTATGTGCAGCTCCGAGGCCTCCCCCTTCTCCTTGTATTCCGCCTCTGCATCGCCAAACAGGTTCCTGATGTTCTCCTCGCTGGCACCCACGTACTTGTTCAGCACCTCCGGCCCATTCACCACCTTGGGCTCCCTGCCGTTCAGCATCTTGCCAATCTGCCTGGCGATCAAGGTCTTGCCCGTGCCAGGGGGGCCATGCAGCAGCATCCCCTTCACGTGGCGGATACCCAGCCTCTCAATCACAGACGGCGGGAACACCCGCGAGGCGAAGGCCCTCCTGAAGATGTCACCGAATTGCTTCCCCAGACCACCAATTCCCAGCTCCTCGAAATTGATACTGGAGGGCTTGAATATCTGGTTGGTCGTCATGTGGCGCTGGTTCGTGATCTTGATGGGGTTCTGGCTCCCCGTGTTCGTGAACACCACCCCCGTCACCTTGCCCATCCACGCCCTGCCCACCTTCACCTGCTCACCGCCCCTCGCCACCAAGATGTCCGAGAAATGGAACTTGTACTTGGTCCCCTCGAACTCGAACGCCACGTCCTGCCCCACCGCGAACACCTGGCCCTGGAAGCACCTCACCATCCGGTCCGACACGCGCGCCGCGTCCAGCTCGGCCTCCCGCTTGAGCTTCTCAGACACATACATTAACTCGCCCACCATCAGTGCGCCTGTCTCCTCCGAGGGGACGTAGGGCATGGCGTGCACAGCGTCGCCGGTGGAGACGCGCAAGTTCTTGCGCTGTATGGCGTTCAGGGCGATGCACCCGGGCGGCACGCCGGCGTGCGGCTCCAGGCTGTACACGAAGGGCTCGCATTCCAGGCACTTGGACGACGACAGCGGGTCGCTGGGATTGAGGTAAACCCGGTTGGTGATGGCCTGCGCCGAGTCCGGGCAGTTGATGACCTCCCTGGTGTTCAGAGTCATCGCTGCGATGGCGCCACGGCGCAGCCCCTGGCTCTGCTGCCGGGTGACGCCGGGGGGCAGGGTGGACGCGTGCCTAGGGAAAGTGCCGTGTCGCGGCAGGGTTGGGCAACTTGTCCGCCCAATATGTACTGGGCCCGTCCTTGCCGGGTGCCGTGACTGGCAGGTATCGGTATTGTTATGGCTAGAACTGATTGAGTGTTACTAATAACTGAATGCATGAAAAGATGACGAAGCAGTAGGAATTGCATTAAGGATGTTGATGAACAGACTGAGTATAAAGGACGGAACGTCTGTTGTCCTTTTGCCTCGACTGTAAACCGTTGCCGTGGACTCGAGCGTACAATTCCCGTTCAGGGATCGCCACCCCTCGACTCTGCCTGCCTTCGTCATTTGGCACCCGAGGCAGGGGATGTGCAAGCCGAGACACAGACCAGGTTAGCTTGTTGCAACCTGGGGGCGGACTGAGCGCCGAGAGCACTGGAGTTCTACGTTGCCCAGGCGACGTTTCCAAGAACTTTTTTGGGATCGAAGATTCAAGACATCCATCGAGCGTACAATTCCCGTTCAGGGATCGCCACCCCTCGACCCTGCCTGCCTTCGTCAGTATCAAGTACCCATACACGATTTCCTGTCTGTGCTGGGACCCCAAAACGGAGCAAAATGAAGCGATGAATACCTCATGGATACTGGTCTGGACCCTTGGTCCAAGGTGCGGCGGGGGAATTTTTGAATTCCAAGCCAAGAAACGGCAACGCTATCTTAAAAATAACGGAAAATGTATTTCCGCAAGTGCCAGCCTTCACAAACGCTGCAAGCCATTGTAACCATGTCATGACTGGCTGCAACGGACGCTGGTTCTGTCGCCTAGCGGGCATGTACAGAGCTTGGAAGTTGGCGCGCTGCATGGACGTGCCAGGAACCCGGCTGGAGGAAGGCAAAGATGCATGCTATCGTCCGTGCCGAGTTCTAATTTCAGCGCATCTAGGACGTGGCGGACGTATGCCCTTACGCACTTGGGTGGGTTGTAACGGATGGCCATCGGAACTTGAGGCGTCGGAAGCTCCCGACTCTACTAGCCTGCTAGCTTCACAAAGTAAACATGCATCCGGCCCAGGCCTTCATTTAAAAGGTATTCGACAGGTTGCTGCAAACCCCACGTTAAACCCATTTTGTCGCACCCCTTTCAGCACATACTATTCCGCAGATTTCGACGACCTTGGCACAATATCAGCACGGCTTGTTTTCATTGGCCCGTCATTGCACCATGGCAGAACTGTCAGACAACAGCATCTCATAGTGAGCAGAACGTGTTCTTCAGTTCTCCAGTCACCTGCCTACAATATGCACTGTGCTGTCCTCCAGCGCAGAGGGAGCCACGGGAAAAAGCGGGAAGCAGTGCGTTCCTGTGGCAATCATCAGTAAAGAAATTACAGCGGAAAAGTCATATCTAATGGTAGCAACCATATCTCCCTGTCGTTCCGGCCCAAGGTTGCATGCTGGCACGACGTTGCCATGCACCACAAAAGCACAACCCACCACTGAACACAACCCAATTCCAGTTTGAGAAACACACGATGCTACTGTAGCAGCGTGCAGAGACGCCCTTGGGTGCAAAACAGGAACGGACGTTATGTTGCAAAAATCAACTCAGACTGAGCACAACCCAATTCCAATTTGAGAAACACACGATGCTACCATAGCAGCCTCCAGAGAGGGACCTTGGGCGCAAAAAGGGAATGGACGTGCTGTTGCAGAGGCCGAAAGCATGGTGGTCAGTGATGCCTGCCACCACAAGCGAAAAGAAGTCTGAACCAATGAGATCAGCACGTTTTCGGCGTCAAACCATTTGCAAGCTGTTCTCTCAGCCATTCTTTTTGAGCCTCTGAAGGCAAGTGGTACCATTTGAAGAAGGGCACAGATATTACCTGAAAAAAAGCACAACAATATCATTTACGCCAACAAAGCAAGTGCTGGTCTATAGGGGGCGTATCCTGTGCAACATAACAAGTCAGAAATGCTCCACTATATAACACGGCTATGCAACATAGCTGCTGCCCAACCATTCCCCACATGCACATAACCGTGGCCAACATCTCATCAACACTGAAAATCTGTGTCGATGATCCATCGCCGTTTCACAGAGTTTCAAGATCATAACACCTGAAGCACAGTACGACAAATCACAAGTGCAGTCAAGTGGCCCATTCCTGTGCAAAATCACAACGTTCACAGGTGACAAATGGCCAGCGCTGTCCAGGGTGCGCTGTTCAGCAGCTTCATCATTTCTGGACCCACCTGCCAGTTCAACTTGTCCAGAATCTTGTTTCGGAACACTGTGTTACCCATCATTTGGTATTCGCCCTCCTGTTTGTTGATGGTGTAGTGGGATGGCCCATCAACCTCCACAATGACCCTCTTCCCCCAGTTTTCATCCAGCACGATATCGGCAACAATGGAGCCATCAACAACAACACAGCAGTCATGGCCCACACCCAGGTCCACCAACGCATCAGACACCTGACGATGGAAGCTGGAGATACTGGCATTTTGCTGTGTGTACTCTACCCTTGCCTTTTCAATCGCATCCCTGGCTGTCGCGCTCAGCTGTATGTCCCGGTGGCAAGTGGCGATATGCAGCCACGCCAAGAACAATCGCGAACAACAGCCAGCACTCATGTGGCCCCCAACACCCAGCAAATGACACAAGTGCGAGACCAGCTGTTGAAAGTGAGCGACTCCCAAAGCATCCAGCGTTGACAAGTCCAAAAGCACTGTTGTAGTTTCCCAGGGATACTGCAGACTCTTCACATTTTCCAGCATATAGTCTGCGAATTGCGCAAGGAAAGCATCATCGTGTGCATTGAATGTTGCACATGCATGCAAGAGCATCCGGTACTCCTCCGCAGAGCATTGGCGGTCACATGATGTGGATGTGGGGAGCAACCCCCTCAGAAGCCTCTCATCAAGGAAACGCAATTTTGCCAGTGCCCATGCAATGTTTGCCCGATTTTGTGTATTATACTGAGCCAGGCACTCTGGTTTTCCAGCCTCTCCCACCAGAATTTCAACCACGCGCACAATCTTGCTCTCCCTCATACCACACCTAAGCTGAGGCTCCAGTGACGCCAGCCCATACAGAAGGTTTGAAAAGCATGCTGCATCAAATTCTGCCAGTCTATGAGATTTCAGCGCCTCTTCCACAAGAGCAGACACGACAGCACCTTCCATATACTGAAGCTTTCCTAATGCGCAAATTATACTCGCCAGAGAACGAGCAGTATACTGAGCTAGCCGTTTAGGATGCTGGATTTCTGCCACGAATTCCTGACACACTTTTCTGCTGTCTTGTTGTGAAAAGCACTCAGCCAATTTGGTTGACAACAATGCCAGCCCCTGCAACATGGTTGACAACTCATGCCCACGGAATCTTTGCAACCTTTCGGGTCTCAGGACCTCTTGCATGAGGATAGGGAGAGTGCTCCTATCACAATATCCCAGCTTCCCCCACGACCAAACCAGCAGGCTCAGTTCTGCTGTTTTGAACTTGCGCAGATGCTCCTGTTTGGCAGCTTCTTTGCAAAGGCATTTCTGGGCATAAGTTTCCTTTATGTCTAAGAAAACGGTTCCATAAACAATGTTTGCCAACTGGCTAGATTTGAAACGCTGCAATCTGTGCCTTTGAGTACTCTCCTCCATTAAATTTGCGGCAAAGCTTTTGAGCAAGGCAGACTGATTTCTCCCCACCTTGTCTGTGCCAATGCTCCAAGTGATTCCTTTTTGTTGATCCCGAGCCAGAGCTCCAAGCGCATGGATTGACACAGCCAACTGCCATTGTTCAAACTCTGCCAGGAGGTTTCTTCTATACACAGAAAGTGCCACTTCCTTAAGCAATTCTCTGTTCAAGTACTGAGCTTGCCTGCAGTAGTTCAGGACAGCAGCTATGTCCTTTGGAGTAAGATGTGGGGCAACCGCCAGAAGTGGACCTGTGAGCAACTCCCAACCTTTCTTGTTTTCAAGACAACGTCTATTCGGAAGAGCTTTTAGTGATGTCATAATGTGCCTCACGTCCTTTCCCAACCTCCCATTCGCAGCAGTGCAACTGTTCTCTCCATTCCGCACCACACCATCATAATAAAGAGTACTTGAGGCCATCCGCTGCTCATTGAAATCCAGCAATAACTGTCTCCTTGGGGACCAAACACATTGCATTGCATTCATCCACGCACTACCTCTAAAACAATTACAACTACCAGAGATAAATGGGCTCCATGCCACGGCTCGCCACATTTTGTATTGCCCCTGCAGCCTCTGACCTTCATATGATCCCATCGCAGGACAACGAGCAGACCATTCTGCGCTCACAATTGCTCTTTCCCTCTTGCCTGCCCATCCGCCTTCCCCTTGGCAGCAATTTGAAGCGCATGGGTTAATGTTCGCACACGGTGTGGGGATATCGCTGCATGTCCAACGACAGCAGCTGCGCAACCCCAAGTTCCAGGCAGCCCTATCCAATGTGAATTGTTGGCAGGATACGAAAACTAACAGCGCGCTCTTTGGCCACGCCGATCGAGCACAAGCAACTCCATCTGCAAGACTCGTGGACGTCACTTGATAAACGGTGCTCCAGAGGGCATTCTGCATCTCCCTGTGTGCCGTAGATGGTACAAACTGACCAGGGACTGGTTTCCTTGGGCGGAAGTTCACAGCCCAGGAAGCCCTCCGGGCCAGGAGGCCTCCTGGCCCTCCTGGCCCGGGGGCAGGACGCGTCCAGTGATTGAAATGGAAGAGGCTAAGCTGTGGCTCCTCTCGGCGTCGCGACGGCAACAAGAGAGCTTGCTGCTCCCTGACTGCGGCGGCCCGGAGGCATGGGTGGGTGGACAGAACTTCTGACGCTCTGTTCCTGACTCCGCATAACGATCGCTGCGTAGAACACTGGAGGACTGCGGTCTGATGGCACCTTACGTCGCGCGCCTCACATAGCCAGCGATTGACCGAAGCAT